CAGGCGCATGATGACTTGAGACAAACCCATGGTTGCCAAGGAGGTGATGAACTCCCAAGTCACCCCAGACTTAACATTGCCTGGTAACAAATTGAAATCCCTGAGCAGCATAAGCCTTGGGATCTCAATGTGCTTCAGTTAGTTCCCTAAAGATCAAGTTGTTGAGGCGTTTACAAATTTGGAGCTCAGATGGCTCTATTCTGTAGTTGTATTGCTTAAATTTGATAGAAAACACACAAGCCAGCAATGAACAGCTGGGGGGGTGGGGGCAGCAAGCACAAGTACCATGTTTTCCCAAAAATAAGACCCAATCTTTTTTTTTTTTGCCACCAAAAGGCACCAGGTCTTATTTTTGAGGGTGTGTGTCTTCCATTGATTTACCTTGTGGCAGCAGCACCATCAGCTCTACCCAGCAGGAGCCTGTTGCTGTCCTAGATCTTCTGTGGCCACTTTTCGCCGCTTTCACGCATTGCCCCCCAGTCTCCATTTCATTGTCAGAGGCCTTCATGAAAGGCCTCTGCAGCTGAGAAACTAGGTTGGGATTGACGCACGTATCGCCCCTGGCCTCCATTTCACCATTAGAGGCCTTCCAGAAAGCCCTCTACAGCCGATAGCTGTTATCGGCGGCAGAAGGCTTTCCTGAAGGCGCCTGACAGTGAAACAAGGCCAGGGATGCCTATGCATCAATCTGAAGCTTGTTACTCAGCTGCAGAGGCCTTTCCTGAAGGTCTCTGACAGTGAAACGGAGTCCGGGGTGACACATGTAAGCAGTGGCAAGCGGCCGCGGTAGAAGTGGGCCAGCAAGGCAAGTATGGTAAGTATGGCAGCTCCACTCCCACATTCACACCGTAGCTTTTGACCTATGTGCCTCACCCTACCCTCTGCACCTGAGTGGGCGGAGTCTTAATTAGGGCTTATTTTGGGAGTAGGTCTTATATTGAGCACACATATAAAAATCAAGCTCGGACTTACTTTCAGGGTAGGGCATATTTTTGGGAAACACGGTAGTAGCACAATTTTTCCAGGCTGTAGCAGTTTCTTCAACCCTAGCTATTTCCCACAGCTGCATCCATTAATGATTTTGACTTGTTACAAGCATGGTGATCATTTTCTTTTTCTAGAAAAGCCGCCCAATTTCAATGATTGATCAAACTGATTATACTTTACCCCATCTTTCTCATTATCCCGAAACAGAACATATGCTACAGATAGTTCTTCATTAAAATAACCAACCTTCTTGCTTCTTAGTGAGCAATAACGAAAGGATCTCTTTTTGGGGGCCATACTGAAAGACTATTAGTTCAACAAGAAGTTCCATTTTTAACCAACACCATCATGGTGCCCTTAAGTTGAGTTCAATTTCTAATTGAAGTTCACCTTGCATCTATCCAGTTTTCTTAGTAAAATTACAGTGTGGTATGTCACTGTCTTCTAGAATATTTTTTAACTTCTCAGTCTGCTCAACACAGAGTTTCTGGCTACATACTAATCAGAGATTTATGGCATTCTGTTAAATAAACACTCATTCAATTTTATATTCAAGACACCACTATAACTTATTTACACAGTCATGGATAATTTAATATAGCTCTTCTTTATAACACAGGCAGTCCTTGTTTAATGACCACTTGTTCAACAACTGTTCAAACTTGTTACAGCAGTAAATCATACTTACAACTAGTCCTCAGAATTCCAGCAGTGCCTGAGGTCATGTGATTATGATCCAAGCAGTTGACCATCACATTATGCTGCAGTCACATAATCATGATTTCCAACCTTCCCTACCAGCTTTCCCCAAGTAAAGTCAATGGGGAAGCCAGCAAGAAGTCAAAATATGTGATCATGTGAAATCCACACTTAACAACTTGCAGTGATTTGCTTAATGACAGTAACTGGGGATTTTTATAACTTACGTTACTAACCATAGTGGTCACATGACATTGCTCTTCACAACCATATTGCTTAGCAATGGAAATTCATGTCTTAGTTACCATTGCTAAGCCGAGACTACTTGTATAATTGAATTCCAACATTGTTAATTATGACTTTCTTAACCATGCTTCCTTGACTAGCTGGATTTGTACAATAGTCTAAGCCACAAATGCTTAGAATAGACCAATTGATTCTAAAAGGCATCATTAATCTATAAAGAAAACATTAATTTTTAATAGGAATAAAATAACTAGTGGATAAGAAACTGTTTGGAATAAACTATAAAAAAGCAAATTTCAACTTCTTATGCTTACTGAAATATAGCAATAGCACTTAGATTTATTTACCACTTTATAGTGCTTTACAGCCTTCTCAAAGTGGTTTACAGAGTCAGCATATTGCCCCCAACAATTTGGGTCCTCATTTTACCCACCTCGGAAGGATGGAAGCTTCAGTCAACCTTGAGCTTGGTGAGATTCGATCTGCCAAATTGCGGT